AGACCCTGGTGTGGCTTAGATCCCAGCAAATACAGTACATATAGTAAGTGGACCCCGCTAGCTCTGGTGGACACAAGTCCTAAAGTTACATGCCTGTATTAGTGTATGGCCTAGTGACCATACCCGAACTGTTGTTGGAAAACATGAGGGGAGTCATTCGAACCACCCCCCCCCCCCTCCCCTCCCCCATCCATAGGATCCGCCCCTGCACACGCACCAATTCACGGACACACACGCACACACACTAGGCCCTGGCGGATAATGCTCCTAAAAGTAGCGTTTTCTGCTCGACATTCTGCTCGTATTCTGCCGGTATTCTGCCCAATTCTGCTCGTATTCTGCAGGATTCTCACGTGCTTGTGAACACAATGGAGCCGTAAATAGGTGCCAGCAGCCCTCTCCGCACTTTGTAGCTGGTTCTGCAGAGTATCTGCTCCTTCTTCTGCACTTTTCTGCCCAATTCTGCTGATTCTGCTCCTTTTCTGAAATAACCCATATTCTGCTCGAAATTCTGCCGGCATTATCCGCCAGGGCCTAATACACACACACACACACACACACACACACACACACACACACACACACACACACACACACACACACACACACACACACACACACACACACACAAAATGTACATGTACCTGTGCACAGAACATGTTTTTGGATCCGGCTTGGTTGATCTGAAACGTCTCCGTGTCCTTCCCAATCTTCTCTTCATCTAGCACCGTGCCTACCCAGTTTTCATCCTCAAAACACCATGGAGGTGGGTTAGCGTGCTCGCTAACTAGCGACTCGTGGTGCTGGATCATCTGCAAGCATTCCGTCGTCGTCAGCAGGTTTTCGATGTGAAGGATATTGCCGTTCGGGTGCAGTGACGTGGCATTTAGCGTCGCCGCCTTGTTGGCTATGTTACGCCAGAAGTTGATCTTCAGTGGCTCATGCGGACGCATTAGCGACGCTAGCGTGCCCTCGTATTTGTCGTTGCCGTCTTGAGGCTTCTCGAGATGCTGGTCACGGTCGTCGGGGACAATATCGTCTTCTTCCATCGGGTCCGTGGGCTGCATGCCCGCTAGGTCATCTTTGTAAGCGTCCTGTTCTCGTCGAGATTTCTGTCCGTCTCCATCGCCAGGTGCGCTTGTGTCTTGGCTGCCATCATCCTCCTCATCATCTCCATCAGGGTTGTCGTAGTCATCAATGTCTTCGTCTAAGTTGTTGCGATCTTCTGGCGAAGCTCTTCCATCACCTCCCGGGCTCCCTCTGCTCTGCTTCGAGTTAGATGCGTCCGAGTCGTCATATAAATCTTCCAGCGGTTTCAAATCGTCGTCGTCTTCGAAGACCTCCTGCTCTTGGCGACGCAATTCATTCTCGTATTTCCAACGTTGCCTAATGGTCACAGCTACTAACGCACCTACCACCAAGATGGCAATGACCGTGATAACCGCGTTGCTCTTTCTCTCATCTCGTTTGCTTCGAACGCGATCACGTTGCTTGCTATCCGGCGACCTAACGTGCTGGTCGTCATCCGATTCGTCCTCAAATTCGCTAGGGTTGCTATCGGATAGTCGAGTCTTCTCTGCTCTATCCTCACTGGAGTTCGGTAGCCCGTCCTGGTTCATCTTCGCGTCGCCGCGTTCTCCGTTTGCAGCAGCGCCAGGGCTCACTGGGGTGCCTTTTCCCGCTCGGTGTCTCGCTCCGTTCTTCCCCATGCTCCGCGTCACCAGTCCGGCGATAGCGCCGGCAGATTGGAATAGCAGCTACTGCCAGGCCAAGGCAGCGTGATATGAGTGATGGCGAGACCTTCAGTAGCTTTACTCTTCTCCGACTTCTCGTCTCCACTCACAATGCTAGTGGCAGCGGATCAATGCGAGAAAATCGCATTGCCTTCGCCTGGGACACGTGGAAGCAAAGCACAGCGGCAGGTAACTGGTTGATCTACTCACCTCAGCCTGCTCAGGTCCGAATGGCCATGATATGACGGTGAAAGAGTAGTGCAAGCCCGAACAGCGACAGGCACGAGCTCCGATCCCGACGCGACTGTCCGAATGTTCGTGCCACGTCGGTGCACGCGACCTGACCTTTCAAACGCACTTCGCGGCCTACAACGATAACCATGCCTAGTTGCCCACCTACCTGGCCGAACTGCACTACACTACAGCATGTGCACAGTACAATAGAGTAGTAAAATACCGGTGTTTTACTACTCCCAGTAGGTTGGCAAGTGACTTTTGTGGGGTTTTTTTTTACTTTTTTTAAAACATTTTTTATCCTTCTATCAACAGTCAGTGTGGTGGCATTTCAAAGTACAATTCAAAGTCGAAAGTTACAATTCAATATCTTCCATGGTTGACAAATGACCACAATACTAAGCAGAATAAAATAATGAGTCTATTTTCTTAGACCAACAGCTGTGACAAAGTCAAAGACACCAAGTAACCAAATTACTACTTGGATCAGTTTACCGCCGAGTACTTTTACAGTCCTAATGTCACGCCGGGCAACATCGTCAGTGAAGAATGGAGAACTCTGGGTGGTGGCATGAGAGTAATTAGAAGGAGTTTATGAGATAGTGCAGGTGAGAATACGGTATAACATCACATTTTGGGTACACGAAAATATCGGTGTCAGGGACGTGCCAGGACTCACTAGCAGGTACACACATTGTACATGTATAGTGTAGAGTTAGCTGACCAGCATTCTCTCCACACACAGTGTGTGCTCTAGCGCCTTATATGTGCTCTAGCGCCTTATATGTGCTCTAGCGCCTTATAAGTTATAGGTGCAATGCAGGTGTCTGGGTTCTCAACCGAAATAACCGAAATAAAAGTTACACCGAAAATACCGTGTTATACTTTGAAGCAGGCGTGGCGCGGCGGAACCGCTCTGGTTGGTCAGGCCGTGGCCGGACCATCTTTTTCGCCACCAACACGTGAGGTGGTCATGTGCTCCCACCATATCATGCACAAATTCAATGCATGAAGGGTATGGCCGGACCAAAACACGGCTTCCTCCGGTACCGCTTTGAAGTGCATGTGTATATGACTGTACATAATTATACATGTTTAGTGGTGGTGGTCATGACTGGTGCAGTGGTGGTGGAGTGGTGGAGGGAAACCGCCTGGGGCTAGGGTCCGGCGGATTCTGCCGGCAGAAAAATTGGCAGAATTCGGTACTTTTTCTGGTAAGTTTCATTTGGTATGAAGATAAAAAAAATGGAGCAGAGCCCGCCATAAGGTTTGTATGGTTCTGCCAATTTCACTGCTTTTCGAGCAGAATCCGCCGGTCCCTACCTGGGGCTGGGGCTACACAAGTGAATATACTGAGACTACTTTGTCAGTACACTCACTTGCATGTACAGTGCATGCTGGCAGGCAGAGAAACCTCGTGAAGAAAGAAGCGCCACGTTCGAATGCACGGAACAGTGTTTTGTAGTGCCAGGGCTGCTCAACGCCCCCTGCACGGAACAGTGTTTTGTAGTGCCGGGTTTGAATGCACGGAACAGTGTTTTGTAGTGCCAGGGCTGCGCAACGCCCCGGCACTATTTTATTCATGAGGTTGGATTTCTTTGGTCAGCACTATACACTGCCCGGTACAATAGTCAATAATGTCTTTCTTAGTGGTTACAAAGTGGTGCAGGGGAAGCACTGCCGCCAGTCCATGCAAGTAACATAGTCACATACACATGATGCAGGCCAGTATTAAAGAAAAGTTCACACATTCGCGTTACCACCGGCCATACAACAATTGTGCTTCTAAACCCATCATGAGAATAAAAGATGTTAAACCTAACCGGTTGGGAGGTGTTTTACTGAAATACTAGAGCAAAGACGACAGAGAAGCAAATGATCCACAATAGGACGTTTGCCCCAGCAGCAATGACATCATGTTCAAGTGCTTTTTGGGTGGCCTCGCGTTCGTCTTGGGTGCAGCTTGTATCTCTGGCAGCCTGTCAGCCACCTCAGCCACTGACAATCTGGTTTCACGACTTCGGTGCAAACCAGTACGACAGGAGTCGTAAAATACCGGTACATAATGGTAGTTTACGACTCCCTGGTGCAAACCCGTATTCGCGGCCTGCTTCTTTGGGGCATATCCCGATAGTGCATGCGACAGCAGGTCGTCTTAACCAACGCCGTCACTGAGTCTGTGGGCCAGATCTGGTGGCGAAGTGTCGCCTGATCAGCCAGTATATCTATCTGTCACTTGGAGTTAACCACCATGCAGTTTAAAAGCGCAGTAGAGTGTCGATTATCCGCACCCATCGTGGCACAGTCCATCTCCACGAGGTTCGGATGGGAAGAATTGATCGGATAAGGGAGCAGTCACACATCTATCTAAAACATGCATAGTCTCGCATGCTTTCATCTTGAATGATGCTCCGAGTGGGGAATATCAGCAAAAACCTCTTGAGCTATTGATCCAGCCCGCCCAGGCGATCCGGATAATCAATCATTCAGATAGTTTACGGATAATCAATCATCCAGATAGTTTACGTCCGGATACTAGTAATCGGCGTTCTACTATATCAATAAATCCACTTAACACATCGCTACATGCAGGGAACCGCTCACGTACACACGCACGTGCACACACCCACACACACACACGAGTATAGAAAGCAACGGCACTACGTCAGTCAGCGTATGCTAGATTGTAACTACGATCGTGTCCATCAATCCGTTTCACAAGAGAGCTGGTACACGACAATATTGGCAATGAGCTAAACAAACAGATTCAAATCACACATACACCGTTATGTAGAGGTATTCAATCATGAAAACAATGAGCTAATCACATTCACGGCTACTGACAGGAGGGTATTTTTGATTTCGGCTGACAAGAACGGATATAGTGGTTTTGTGCATGATGAGCGGAGACGACAGTGTGCTGTACAACAGAGGTGTGTATATAGCGCCTGCTGCTGCTGCTAATGGCATTGTGATGTCACGGTGACATCATGGTGACGTCTTCACAACGACGTCACGGCGATCATGTTGCAATGATGGCACATGGCGACACCATTGCAATGATGTCACGGTGACATAATCACATCATGATGCAGTGACATTGTGGTGACATCATGCCATGACGTCATGGCGACATCATCATAGACACCAGCTAGCATGGGAGTGATAAAAGCATGACTTAACAACGACGTTATGTTATTCTGAAAACATAACGTGACGTAAGCGGGGTATACAATGTATACGCAGCCCGAAAATATGAACACACAATGCTAGCGGTCTTCCGAGTAGTTTACACCGGAATGCTATACTGATTGGGAATAGGCGAGGGACGAAGCAATTTGCTGGGAGCTGGTCTGCGGACGGGGGCCGGCCGCTGGAGAATAGGACAAATACGGACGGGGATTATTGATGATGTCGGCCAAATTCATTCCTGCAAAGGATATCCAAAACGTTAACAAGAGACAGGAAGAGCAGAGGACAGGATCGATGGCGGGCCGCAAGGACATAAACAGAGATGAGACAGGTGTGAAAGCGTCAGCGCTGCCCGAAGGAGTAGCATCCAAAGACAACAGGTGAGAGCCGTCAAGAACTGGCGACACGAGAAACAACGACAAAGATGATTGGTGATAGCGAGTCACAGAGATGCTACACGGCCAGGACAGTGTCCAGCTACCACTAGGAGGTTGCTCCTACTCCATACACACTCCATACAGCAGAAGACATCAGCCACAGCCAATCAGCTGTCCCCACTAGGAATGCCGCCGCAGCTTACGGTCGACAACAGGCAGCAAACAACAACAGCGGCCGCCACACCAAACATGGATTGTTAACATTAGAGAAAAGCACGACGAATTCAACGAAAATAGATCATGCAGAGCGGTAAAGCATAGTTTTCATCAAAGTCGAGATTCGAACATTCGAGAATGCGGAGAACAAATACAAAGCGGGTAAGTATCGGAGACACGTTGACGAATTCCATAGACATGCTGACCCAAGGTATCACGAAACAAGAACTATACGATGTGCGCTGGTTGACAATGCTTGAGGTAGGCACAGTGTGAGGTAGGCACGGGATGACCACCAGTCTTCACTCTGTCAAGCACACACAACGAGAAGCAAGTAGAAACATGCCCAGTGCACAACAAACAAATACGCAAACGCACATACACACATACACACACGCACACATGCACATACACACACACATACACACACACACACACACACACACACACACACACACACACACACACACATAATCAGGGAATACTGCCTCAACATGGCAGATGGCCGGGCGTATGTACAGCCCAGACCATTTTGCAATGCGTGTGCCTTGCGCATGCGCGCGCACACACATGCATACACATTCAGACTCAGATATGCCCATCGCGGGAGCGATGATAGCGACCAGCTATGTTAGACATAGCAACTTGTGCTGGGCTTACACCATTCAACAGCTTGCAAGGCTGATGAATGGGCCGCCACTAATTTTAGCCTGGTCTACACCACACAGCTGATTGAAGTTGGGTTTTTTTCTGGCCAGTGAATCCCTATTTTAGAGTATTTTTCATTCTTTTTTTACACACACACACACGCACAAACTTGCGCATGTACTTGCTCACTGCCTGAAGCTGGTCACACAAGCCTCCCTTGGAAGAGTGGAGAGAGGTTCAAAAGGGCTCGTGGAAAAATGACTCAATAGGTTATTGTAGCGTCCACACGAAGACACCCTCGCCCTCAAATCCCCAGATTCTGGGTGGACTTGAAACACATGACCTCACTTATGGGTTCACTGCACAGCAGCAGTAAGAGGTCATGCCAAGGTCTGTACGGGAAAAGTACTGATGGCACCATACTACTTGTCCCTGGGTCCAACTGCATTTTCACTTGCCCATACTGAAGATAATACAGCCCTGCTCAGCTGCTCAATGAAATCAAGTCGCGTTGCTCAAGTACGCGCCAGGCGTAGCGCAGCCCTAGACGTGCAAACACTGGGCTGTGAAATGGTGCAAAGCACAAACTTGAGTGACACGGCTGGTTTCCCATTGAACAGGACTGTACTTGAAACTAATGTAGGCTACTAAGTCAGAGCGGAGGTAAAGTTATTTTTTGAAAAGAAAGGACCCAAAGTTTACATGATACCTTGTCCAATACTAACAGCTATATGTAAGTTCCAAACGACGGGGCACGTGTAAACGTCTGGTCCTTCCTCATATCTTCTCGTTAACCTATGGATTTAGGAGACAAAGGACCAAGGAACTACAAGTTACACTATAATGTCCACTAACACCACCAGTTACTAAACAATCAGCTCATGCGATAACATTGCATGGCACTGACTGACGGTACTGACGTTCTACAACATCGCATGAGCTGATTGTTTTGTAACTGGTGGTGTTAGTGGACATTATAGTGTAACTTGTAGTTCCTTGGTCCTTTTTACTTTTTATAAATAATCCTTGGCTCTCCATCCGAGTTCATTTAGGAAAAGCGTTAAAATTGCGAATCTCGTTTCAGTAACATGTCTTACAGTAATCAGAAGTAATAAATTAGAAACCCCATTCTGACGGCCATTCAGCGACGTTTCTATTTTAGTGATTGAAGAAATCAATCCAAAATTATAGATACACCAGAGCACACTTTGCCATACTGTACTCTGTCACAGCATGGCACAGTTTGGCACATGGTGAACTTGAAATAGAAAGAATACGGAACCTGAAACCAGCATAGGGGACACGCACTCACACGAGCATGCCCTCCCCCCCCCCCCCTCCCCCACCACACACACACACCATGTACACAGACAGACCATGTAAACACACACACACACACACACACACACACACACACACACACACACACACACACACACAAGCTAGCAACTCACTGGCTGTCGTTTCCTAAGCGTCTGGTTTGCCTCCTGCCGCGATTTTCGCTTGCTCATCATGCATATGCTGTCCTTCCCAATAGATCATTTCTGTACACACACATACACACACACACACACACACACACACACACACACACACACACACACAAACACAACACACACACAAAGGCACAAACGCACAATATTATACACACACCTTGACCTTCATAATTGAAACATCAAAGAAGCAATGAAGAGCTCACAAACGTGAGTTTCAGGCCAGAGAAAACGTCGCAGTATGCACAAAACACGATGGTTAGCTGCGGAACGTCCACGCCACACCTGCATTCCTGTATGCCTGTACCAGGAAGAAATGTCTCCTCGGTAAGGCTACAAGACCAACTTGCCCTGCGACAACAATATCAGCCGCAGGTAACCGTGTCCACTGGACATAGTGCTGTCACTCCTCCCCCTCCTCTTCCGAGAGAGAGAGAGAGTGTGTGAGTGAGTGAGAGAGAGTCTGTGTCAATTGCAGTACAAGCGAAGCACAGTAATGCCCACAAGTGGACCTTGTGGTGTGCAGATTGTGCCAGTGTGTGTCCTGCGGCCAGTGGGTATCCTGGGGCCAGTGGGTATCCTGGGGCCAGTGCCCTCACAAGCAATACCATACCCCAGGCACGGCTGTTTTTTTGCGCGATTTTGGCCCATTTAATATGGCGGCCAAGAACGCGTAAAAATTCATGTTTTTCGTCCAGGAATTGCTTTAGACAGAGAAGTATTCAACAAACTTCACCACTTTTCGTCATCCAATCAGCTTGGTTTGCCCTGAGTTTTCAATTTTTCTGGCTTTGCCTTTCCCTCAGCTTCGCATACATGCCGCGTGACCCCTGCTTCGATTTTGTTTCCTTGCGTGTGGAGGACGTTTGTTTTCCTCTCCTGGGACGTTCGTCGTGCAGAATTTGAGCCAACGTTCGTGCCCCAAATCATATCCCCAAATTTGAGTATCGTTTAGATAATTTGGAATCTGGTAGGTAAGTGTCCGTTCTGGTGCTGCAGAAAATTTCGTTCCGTGATGTGCATCAATTCCGTGTGACTTGCGTTTGCAATATTCCCACACGTCTGGTATTTCCCCCACTTACTGGGTCGTAACTACACTTGTGTTACTCTCCAGTGGTTGTGAGGACATAGAGTGATGATGGATGAACATAAATCGATACTGCAAGAAGTCTGCCGAGTCGGTGGCAGAAGGTTTTCCTGCTTCAAGCAGTCTACCACATATAGTGTGGCAAAATACAGCGATCTGCTGAAACCTGTACGTGGCATTGATATCTCGAAAGATTGCCCAGACGTCCACCCACCATACATCTGTATTCTGTGCGAGCGAGCCCTAAAGAGAGCCAGTAGAAAGGCAGACCATTGTGGATGTGGCTGTGGACCTGTCACCAAATGGTTGCACCCACCATCGCACAAACTGCTCAGTGTGTGCAAGCCAGAAGAAAAGGGCCGCAAGCGCACACCATGCAAAACCGAAAACAGCATTGCGAAATGCCGCACTCCTGGCAGCATCCAGCCAACAGAGCGATGATGGATCACCTACACACTCAGCCACCAGCGGTGTAAGCGGTCTAGATATTAGTGCAGGATGCATACGGTCAAGAGCAGCGAGACAACATCCTGTAACACTGCCGCTTGGCAAGGAGAGATGTTTAGGCAGAAATGCGGCGCAAATTTGCATCATTTGTCAGAATGCCGCAGACGGTATATTGGAAACAGCATGCGGCAATGAGCTGAGTTGTGCAGGGTGCATAAGCGAATGGCTGAGCACGAATAACACGTGCAAGTCTTGCAGCGCTGACATGGCTGCATCATCGATGTTCACGCCCAGCATCGGTCTAACCAGGGCTGTCAGCAGCCAGTCTGTCGCGAACCATGTACATACCCTTTACATAAACCACTCGAAGCAGACCATATTTTCCTTAGTGCCCAATTTTCTTGTGAATCAAGACTGAAGAATATTTACAAGGGGAGAGCGATAATATAGGTGAGTCGGAGTGTATGCCTGTAGCAGTAGTGTGCCGTGAAAGTGTCTTGCGTACAGCGTCAGCAGAAATATACAAGCGATAAATATACAAACGCATCGAAATTAGCTCCCAAGGAGTAGCGAAGAATCAAAGAGAAGCAAGAAGAGCACCAAGTTGTGGAACTAAAACAGCTCCACGTGCATGTAGCTGAAAAGGTGACACATAAAGATACGCACGGTGCAACGAGTCCAACTGTGAGCATGAAAATGGATAGTGAAGGCCATCAAAGATGCCGATAGTCGTACACACAGTCCGTGTTGGATGTCGGTGCGTGTGCAAGCCAAGGTGCATGGGTTCAAACTGAATCAAAGGGTGCCCGGAACGGAAACATTAGAAATGCAACGAAGTGCAAGGTGAGAAAAAGGGTGCCCAGAATTGAACCTTAGATATACAAACGAGTGCAAGATGAGAAAAAGGGTGTCACAAAGGGATGCGAGTGATTGAACGTACAGATCATGCACTGAACAAGGATACATGTATACGTAGACCTACGTAGCTGTGAATTCTTGGATATACATGCATTGTGCTCGTGACTACGAATAAATCCGATCGCATTCGCGACACTCCCGCCCGCTGAAAGTGACTACCATAGTTATGAAATAGCATACACATGAGTGAACAATTACAACTGTGAAATGAAGTGTTGAAAGAGAAAAATTGAGTGGAAACAGTTATTTGTATTCAGACTGAATTCGTAATTATCATGGTTTGCATTTCATCGAGCCTTCGTTTGATTTAAAACTCAATAGGTCCAACGTAATCTATGCCTGTGAATTCATACAGTAGCAACTCCATTATTCTTTCCTTGGGCAAAAGCCGGAGGGGGTTTCGGAAGTTGAAACGGGCCACCATCGTGCTGTTTACATGACAAACAGTGTTGTGGTTGTGTAAATTCTATCCATTTCGATTCCGCTCGTTGGTATTCGTCACGTGAGATGGTATTGCCAACCGATTTTTTTTGGATTTTATCAATAAATTTCTGTACGTACGCTGTGACTCTGACTAGTTTCCCGAAAGACGTGAATTGTTCCGGGTCCATGCCTGCTGGTGATCCGTCAGGACCCTCCCCCTGCACGAGAATAGCAGTGACAGGAGTATCCTCCATTGGATCGTGGCTTGTCGTTGGCAACGTAGTGAGTACATGTACTGCATCATCCGTAATTCCATGATACTCCGTACTTCCTGATGGTAAATACCCGAACGTTGATTTTACCATGCACATGCCATTCTGCAGTGCAATACTGCCGTCCATTATGAATCTGTGATAGTGATCTACACCAATCAGTATGTCCACGTCACACTTCTCTGGTTCCTGTACAGGTGGTTCCGCAAGAGGCATGCCATGCAACTTCATATCATTTGGAAGCGGGAATCGTTGAATTGGGTGACACAGGATTGATGTGACATTTGCGCAGACCTCCGTGCAAGATTTGTCTGGTTGTTCAATTCGTAGATTGACTCTTGGCATGGTTTCGATTTTCCGTTTTTCGTTACCAAAGCTTGACACTGAGATTGTGTCCTCTCCAATCTTGTTACAGTGCAGTTTGTGGCATAGGGATTCAGTGATGAAGGATCTAGTTGCCCCAGTGTCGAATAAAATCCGAGCATAGCATTCCTGGGTTCCGCTTTCATTTGACACCATTGTAACTGCTGTTTGCAAAACCGTGTTTTTGCAATCTGCGATTGCCACTCCCATTGTGGATTGAATTTGGGATGACACTTTTCCTGCGCCAAATTTCTCCGGACAGATACTACAATGGTGTGTTGTGCGTTTACAGTAGTAGCATGGTTTAGTGCGCTCACATGCCCTTGCACTGTGACCAGATTTCAGGCAAATGAAACACCGTCCATTCAATTGATCTTTTCTGGTTTCTGCATCTGTGTACCTGGTACACTCATCAGCGAAATGCGATTGTCCGCAGTAGATGCATTTACGCTCCATTTTTACCGTGTTTGCTGCCATTGAGTGAGCTACGTGTGTCGTTGGGTTGGATGGTCGGTCCCTTTGTCGTTCGTTTCCGCCGGTAGTTGCAGCTTCCGCTGCTTCCATTGCATCTACGTAGTGGTTCATTGCCTCACGTAGACTTCGCACTGTCCATTTCGTGGTAGTGCCTTTCTTTAACTCTAATTGGGACATAACCGATTTCGGTAATTTGGAGGTAATCAGTGGAATGAATAGTGCCTGTGACATGTCCTCATGTAGCGCACCTAGACTTCTGATGTTTGCCTCGACGTCATTCAAGAATTTCCGCAATGATTCAGGTCGGCTAGACGGTTTCTCCAAATCGACTAATGCCAAGTACCGAGCATTGATTACAACATGGTCTTTCCCAAATCGATCCATTAGCAAATCCCATGCAACCTTGTAATTTGAATTTGACAGGGCCAAACCAGAGATACATTCCAGCGCTTTTCCTTTCACGTGTGTTTTCAGGTAAGATAGCTTCTCCACATCAGACAAAGATTTATTTGTGTGAACAGTGGCAGTAAACATATCTTGAAATTCCTTAAATTTCATTACATCACCATCAAAAGTGAACAATTCCAGTTTAGGCAATTTGACCGTGTTACCAGTTTTATTGCTAGCATTACTCTGAGAATTCGTCAAATTTGTCATGATGCTCTGATTGCTTTGATTCATTGATACCATTTCCGACAGCAGTCTGTCGAGTTTGTCGTCATCCATTATAGTTGCTGTAGTTCCTGCCGCCATTGCCGTGGCTGCAGGTTGCGGATCCTTTTTTTGACATTCCATTTGTAAGAATTTTAGTGACACCAAATTAATGTTAGTTACACGTATAAATTCATCCATTTGTTCGATCCATCCCGTTTGATTTTCCTTGAATTCCTGGTCGTCAGACCCTTTTATTTCGTACCTGTTAATTAAATCAGTATACTTTTCCAGCGATATTTCGAGTGCCTCGAGATGCGAGTCCAATTGGAAATTGTGTTGACATAGCTCTCTGACTGCTGCTGGATCCGATTCAATGTCCGTTGAGATTGCCGAGAGGAAACTACCCGTTGTCGTTTCCATATCTTTGATTGTCTTGTGGTGACGAGCAGCCTTTTGGCGCTTGCCCCTCACCGCCGCTTGGTTTTCCATGGTTCGTCGGTCGTTCAAATTCCTGTACTAGGAGAGTCGCCGCTCGACTCTCCCGGGTTTCGGCACCAAAATGTCGCGAACCATGTACATACCCTTTACATAAACCACTCGAAGCAGACCATATTTTCCTTAGTGCCCAATTTTCTTGTGAATCAAGACTGAAGAATATTTACAAGGGGAGAGCGATAATATAGGTGAGTCGGAGTGTATGCCTGTAGCAGTAGTGTGCCGTGAAAGTGTCTTGCGTACAGCGTCAGCAGAAATATACAAGCGATAAATATACAAACGCATCGAAATTAGCTCCCAAGGAGTAGCGAAGAATCAAAGAGAAGCAAGAAGAGCACCAAGTTGTGGAACTAAAACAGCTCCACGTGCATGTAGCTGAAAAGGTGACACATAAAGATACGCACGGTGCAACGAGTCCAACTGTGAGCATGAAAATGGATAGTGAAGGCCATCAAAGATGCCGATAGTCGTACACACAGTCCGTGTTGGATGTCGGTGCGTGTGCAAGCCAAGGTGCATGGGTTCAAACTGAATCAAAGGGTGCCCGGAACGGAAACATTAGAAATGCAACGAAGTGCAAGGTGAGAAAAAGGGTGCCCAGAATTGAACCTTAGATATACAAACGAGTGCAAGATGAGAAAAAGGGTGTCACAAAGGGATGCGAGTGATTGAACGTACAGATCATGCACTGAACAAGGATACATGTATACGTAGACCTACGTAGCTGTGAATTCTTGGATATACATGCATTGTGCTCGTGACTACGAATAAATCCGATCGCATTCGCGACACAGTCCATACACTGCAACTTCCACGAGCCATCGCTACGTGGATGTCCTGGAGTCGTGTCGCTGCATGAATTGCAACGTCATGTCAACATGTGCCCGTTCAATCCCACAGAGATGCCATCGTGTTGCCCAGCAAATAGCCCGCCACTGTCGCGAACGTCGCGATGAAATACATGAAAATGAATTCGGAATAACCAATTCATCTTTGCATTTCATGACGATGATTTTGTACTCTCTTGCTTGCTTACGTTGTGGCTGATTCCACGCTTGGGTTACCCAAAGTCTAGTTTCCCATCGTCCTTTCTAGTAATTGACTTCATTCTACTTCGAAGTACTAGTAGCTTCGAAGCAATCCTTCGTTTCTCTATTCTTTGCATTTTGTTCACAAACAAATTCTTCGTTATGTTTTCGTCCCGTGAGTATTTTCGCGCTCTTGATTTGTTTTGCTCACGCGTGACTTTCCTTTCCTTTCTTTTTGTCATGCATGATCATGATGATGTATTTGGTGTGACGTATGTGTACGTGACCACGTGACCGCGTGTTCACTAACTACATGACTGTACAGACAGTAGGCTAGTGCATTTTAGCGATTCGCTCTCCTTGCTGTTCACTTATTCTCCATTTCTGTTTTGTCGCTGCACTAGTTCCTTTTGTCACCATGCCACGTAAATGAAAGTCGAGTCGTGGTCGCCATTTTTATGCATGTTCTTTGTGCGCAGCTGCCTGTGGATGCAGCTGCCCTTTTTCGTTGAAATTTGATCTTGTTTGAGAAAGAAACAAAGAAACAAACTTTCCAAATCAAGAAACGTTAATTGTCTTTCATGTCCGTTGAGTCGTGATTCTTATGATGTCGCGAGTCACGACAGCCACCAAGCACGACACCAATCCGCTCTGTGCGCCCATCGTCAACAGTGACTGACGTTCTAAGTGCTTCTCCGTCGAAGTTGAAGGGCAATGTGGCAACCAACCTCACTGCACGTCTGGTCACGGCTAGGGCAGAGAGTGACAGGCTGGAGGTTAAAACTGGCGGGGGAGGCAGGGGCAAACCGCAAGTTAACCAACTAACACCACGAGGTGGATAAGCTGGAGTCTGAAGTTGTAAGCTGGAGTCTGAAGTTCGGCGTTTCTTGAGTATGTGGAGACAGCACGTTGTGGCACGGCGACTTGGCAACATCACGCCAAAACTTACGGTGCCGCTCATCAGGAAACTTGGCGTTGGCCTGGGCCTGCTCGGGGAGCAAGGGGCAGAGAGCTTGCACGCCAGTCTCAACACCCTCAACGCCATCTATAAAACATACCAGGAGACCTCGCAAGGCGGAAAGTTGTCCCCCCTACGCTCCAAAGAAAAACATTTCGTAGCACCGTATTTCCCCGATTATAAGTCGCACTCAATTATAAGTCGCACCCCCCCCCCCCCCCCCCATTTTCAGGTTTCAGGAATATTGTTTCGATATGATCACTTCAGTAGTAAGTCATTCTCGATTGTAAGTCGCACCCCCTTTCTTACCCTTGAATATTCGTGTAAAAAGGAGCGACTTATATTCGAGGAAGTACGTAACTATAATCATGCTCCTTTTTCAAATTTTCAAAAGACATATTGTTTGCGTTTTTTATGTCGAATTACACTGAAAACCAACTTGATTTTGTTACTATTCACAAGAATTTACCGATCCGCATCGAGTTTTCAAAACTTCTCTAAAACCCGGTCAAACGCCGCCGTATTGTAATCTGGTCAGCCACGGACAGCCGTGCAGGGGAGCTGGAGAATCACCTTCGCCGAACAGCGAGATCCCACTTAACACTGCACATGTATACAGTCTACAGTCCATTTCAAAAATATAGACGCACGGCATTTTTGAAATATGAGCCCCAGCCAGCAGAAACCTGAACATGTGTAATTTTCTCAAAAATTATTTTTTCCCTCCAAATTGTTTCTAGACTATTAGTCATTCAAGTAATCAAGTTTGGTGACAATCTGATAAGCGAAAGCATGGAAAATAGAGTTTGAAGTCACACAGGTCAAGATTCGGTACAGTTGGCGCAGCATCCATGCGCATTGACTCCATGCAAGTTGATCCTACAGTTTCTGATTGTGACGTGGAACAGGTACATGTAAGTAAATAGAATGCAAGTCAGGCTTGCCCTCTTGGTGCTGCAGGCATGAGCAGTTCAGAAGTGTGACGATATTCCGTATACATCACTACCTTCTTTACAACACCAGAGTGCAAAACGATTATTGGTGGCTGGCCTTCCAAATTGTGTTCAGGGACCTCTGTGCTGGCAGTTTGAGCATTGTCCCAACGCTTGCCATACTGATAGATGTACTGACCAATACCACTGACATCCACTCCCTTGCACACTTTCACTCAGACCATGATTACAGCATAATTGTATTTCAATGATATGAGCGAATACTCGCATTTTGTAGCACGTGAAGATGTTGCCCCAAAGCGTTCAGCCGGTTTGAGTTTTTAGGGATTCCCTTTCTCAGCACAGGCAGCAGCCAGCTTGGCGTCGTCTGGCAAGGTAGAGTACTGATAATACTACGCTCTGTTTTGCGCCGTGAGAAGCCCTCCATCAGCGTCTGCAACATCATTGTCGTCGATGTAGAAATACGGATCGCTCAGCGGGTCGACATTCAGCTTCTTCTCGCAGTCGCTATTACTCCAGCACTGACTATCGTCGCCACCAGTATCCAGTGTCGATTTTATGAGGGCTCTTCGTTGCTATGCATATGAGACTCGCCACTGCTGGACAAACTCAGCGAGATCGCCACCAAAGAAATAATTCCGATCGCGAACTAACTTTCAGCGCCGCTTCGTACAGGGAGTCTTACGCTGACAACTCTGGACCTAAGTCTTTGTCGCGACACCTGTCGCCATCGCTGTGTCTAAACTCAACCTCCGTGTGAGGAGCTCTCACCTAGCGCTAAAATCAATTGACCTGAGACATTTGAAGACACTTGAAACTCCTTTGACAACAAAGACACCCACTCGATCGAAAAAGAATCTTCAAAAGCCAGCTCACTGCGCGTCCCAAACTTTGACGTCACATTTTGATGATTGATATCAAGTACACAAGTGCTGGTTTTCGCTGGCCGGGGCTCATATTTCAAATTTGGCTGGAGCTATTTGAGAATTCTTTTAAGAATATTGCTCAGGTCCTTCCCACAATTACTCTCATAATGAATTTTCGCGATCGGATAGCAAACGCCCAATTTCGAAATTTGTATGCACAAAGTGATCACAGATTTTATGTGGTATAGATGCTGGCCCAACGGTCTTTTGAAATCATGCGTCTATATTTTTGAAACGCATTGTAGTTCAGTTACTGCGTTCTGTTTTCGTGGTTCATGAGCACCGCTCCCCTTCCCCCCCCCCCCTTCTCCTCCTCCCCCCCCCCCCCTTTCTCCTCCCCTGCCCCCCCCCCCCTCCCTCTCCTGTGGACATACTGCCAGGGAACTAGCTAGCCATGTCATCACCATTGTATACTCGCCAAGTCTCTGCACCACAACCTGGCTTGGTTACATGTACACGTAATGAGATTTGACTTTTGACTGCGTTGTCAGCCATACTACAGTTCTGGCCAGAGAAATGAAACTCTATGAACAATGTAACGCCCCACTCAAGTTACTTAGCAGAGTGGTTGGTGTGTGTGTGTGTATGTGTGTGTGTGTGTGTGTGTGTGTGTGTGTGTGTGTGTGTGTGTGCGTGCGTGCGTGTGATGCTAAGGCCACGTAGCCATCGTCGCTAGTATATTTATGAGATCGGATTTCTCAGGCCAGAACTGTAGGCAGTATGCATACCGTACGACAGTAGCACAACTCATCCTACCTTTCAGTTGGTGTTTGGGGTAGTCGTCAAACTCCATGTGGAACTTGAGTGGTTTCGTGCAGACCGGCTCGTCTGATGGGTCGTAGTACTGCTCCAAATATGGATGCGCAAGTGCCTCCTCCACCTCGATGCGGTTGTTGGGGTTGAACGTGAGCAGCTTGTCCAGAATGTCTAGGCCTGGGCATGCCACATACACACATGCACACAGGCACATTCACACACACGCACACAGGCACATTCACAAGCACGCACGCACACGCACACACACACACGCGCGCGCGCGCATACGTGCACGCGAGCACACCCACACACACAGAACGTTCAATCGCAACACACTTTGACATAACACTGTGGACAGGGAAATCTGCAGTCATCGCGAAACACCAGCTCAACTCGGTGTCGAGAGATTTTAATTATTCGAGTCTCAATATGAACTTTGAAGAAGACAATTCAACGGTAATACTTCAAATTACCAAAGCTGTGTAAAGATGTTATGTTGGTAGCGTCTGAGGTAGCCAGGTTCCACAGCACTTTATTTTGTATGTGTGCGTGTGCCGGGCATGAGATAGCGTGCCTGCCACGCCTGCAATGCCTGCCACGCTTGCCACGCTTGCCACGCTATCCCGTACATACCGTATTATCTCTAATATAAGCACGGTCCTTTATTTTTTCAATGTACCTCCGCCCCGTGCTATTAATGGAGACGTTCCTTTATTGGAGACTGTTCCATTATTATTTCAACCTCATTTCAGAGGCATGTTGCCATGCCAAATTCATGTATGACACACACATTTCAGGGTTTTTTTCGCCGGTACAGATAATGAATTTACACAGTGTGCTTATAATGGAGACTGAGCACTTTATTTTTTGAATGACGCCCAAGGTGTTCTATTATTAGAGACGTGCTATTATTGGAGACTGTGCTTATATTAGAGATAATACGGTACCCTGTTTGCCATGCCTAGCGCGCTATCCCGTACATACCCTGTTTGGTCACTCCCAATAAGGTCACAATTCCTGAAAAATGAATAGTTTGTACTTGACAGAGTGAGAACTGGCTGGTCCGGAGCACTTTGAACCTTCCACTCGGCAATCCTCCCGAAGATTGGCGACAAAATCACTGTACTCCATGGGACTGATACAAGGATTGTGCACGCATATTTCATTCCATCCATAAAAAACACAGAGAGAGGGAGCAGACAGACAAACAGACAGACCGACAGACAGACAGACAGGCAGGCAGGCAGGCAGTCTGACAGGCAGACCGACGGACGGACCGACGGACGGACATGCAGACAGACAGACACCGCACACATACCTTGTGGATTTGCCTTGGGAAAGAGCTGGTTCCATGGCATCTTGGGTTTCGTTGGCAAAGACTGAATGTAGCTCCGTGCCTACATGAATGCACAAAGATACACAGACATGATGTTAGGAATATGCAGACACACAGGCCAGAATGGAAAGGGTTAAAAGGGACAAAACTGGTCCAGACTAGAGTTTCCCTGTGAGCAGCCATTGGAGAATCTCCTCCTACCTGTACACATTCCTTTCCAATTTGGTTAACCGTCAATCTCTCTACTCCGCTGGTATTCTTCATGACGGGGTTTGCGGGGGGTGGCAGCATGCACATGATGTTGCAAGGGATGACATCAGCATAAATAACACCACCACAACAGCTGGTAGTAAGTACTAGTGCAGCTAGCAGCACCACCCCCCCCCCCCCCCCCTCCCCCTGTCGCAACCGCCACCACCACAACCGGCACCATCAGCAGCAGCACCGCCAACACCACTGCTACCATCACAAGAAACGCAGACGCTGGCAACATATACACACACACCTGGTCCTGGTAAACACTGCCATTACGGTCACGTGTCCCCTCGCGGGGCCGACAACATGGAAAACCACCCGCGACGGCAGAAAGTCGGCAGTCTGCCGAGAGATCAGGGACCATGTTCAATCGGCACGACGAGAGCCATCTTCGGCAGCTATGGATTTGAAATCCACGAGTAGAGCGGCAGCACCGACCACAGGCCCCACAGTGGGCTTTGCAGCATGAGAGGGCGAGCTGCACACGCGGCGGCAGAGGAGTCGCCTGAGCAGCAATGGTAGACACCGCCGCCCAGCACGGAGCCCGAGACGTCCTCTGCTCTGGTGGAGGACGGTTGTACTTTTTGGGGCTCTTGTTTCTGGCCTCCGTCCGTGCTTGTCCTCGCCGTTGTGGACGGCCTGGGGTGTCCCCAGCCGTCCAGGCAAGTAGCGCCTGAGGTGAGGTCTTCAACGACAGGAGACTTGGTCGGATAGCTACAATGCCGACACTCTCCTCGTCGCCCCCACCTCGGAGTCCTTCGCGAGGCCCTGCAAGCCCGCGAGTGGAGCAAACTACCGCACGAAGGCGACGACCTGGAACGACACTGAGCATTGGCTCATGGAATGTTCGCTCTCTTGTGGAGAGTGATGGACCAGTCCAGATGGCAGCCGTGAGAGGAATTGTTTCCGACGATAAGAAAATCTTTCAAATAGTTGAACACCTTGAAAATATGAAAATGGACATCGCCGGTCTTCAGGAAACGCATTGGTTTGGCTGTGAGCAGTACAGAGTCACTGGAGCGGAGGTCATTACTTCTGGACGCCCAGTACCTGGAGTCGGTGAGCCATGTCAGAGGGGCGAGGGGGTTGCGTTCGTGCTCCGCGGAAATGCTTTGAAAGCTTGGCGTGCGGGTGGATGTCAATCGTCGCCGCTCTCTGCTCGTGTCATGTCACTCCGCTTACACACACACACACACACACACACACACACACACACACACACACACACACACCGACCGTACCTTCTCGTTGCGGATACACATGAGATCCTCCTCTGACGGAGATCCCAGCACTCCCAGTATGTGAGAGATCTGATCCAGGTAGTGCTTGCCAGGGAACAGCGGTCGATTAGCAAACATCTCTGCCAGGATACAGCCCACTGACCAGATATCAATGCTCTTGGTATAGCCGCGGGAGTTGAGCATGATCTCTGGTGCTCGGTACCATCGCGTGGCTACGTACTCGGTCAGGAAGCCCGTGTGGTCATGGTCTGGGTCGGCTATACGCGCTAGGCCAAAGTCACAGATCTGTGCACAAACACACGCATGCATGCATGCACACATACAAACACACACGTGCACACACAAAGAAATGCACATGCCAGCACACACATACACACACACATGTCAACACACACAAACATTGGCAAGTTGATAACTGCGGAGTAGAGAAAGACAATACAAGGACAAGCAGCAGAAGTTGTAGATATTGGCAAACAGAATTTCCTCCACACAGCATCTACGATTCGGAGTCATGTTGCTGATGTGAATGAGGTTGGGAACGTGGAATAGGTTCATTTACAGAGAAAGATGGCCTCTCAAATTTGGGAGAACATGCGGAACAGAAGATGGTTTTTCTACGAAAGGCACTCTCTGCAAAGTGCACTGAAGAGGCTAAGGATGGCCGTAAAACACATAGCAATCAGCTACCAGCTGCAAGGGAGATGGCGGAGTGCTTGCTAACCATAATCAGACTTGCACATTTTCGTTTCGAAGACTTTTAAAACCGTTTGCATGCAGTACAAGTACAGCACTGCTCAATGAAATCCAGTCACAGCGTCACTCAAGTACACGCCAGGCATTGCACAGCGTCACTAAAGTACACGCCAGGCATTGCACGGCGTCACTCAAGTACACGCCAGGCATTGCACAGCGTCACTCAAGTACACGCCAGGCATTGCACAGCGTCACTCAAGTACACGCCAGGCATTGCGCAGCCATACTAGACCTGTGAACGCTGGGCTGCGAAATCGGGCAAGGCGCAAACTTGAGTGATGCAACTGGATTTTATTGAGCAGGGCTGCCACTTTTCTGTTGGAAGAAATCCGAATGGAGTCCGTGGGTGTCCCACGACCAGGCGCAGAGGAGTAAGGAGGCAGCACTCTCGTTACGAGCCAAAGCTTTTTCAGGATTCTAAGAGCCTGAAATAACAGACTAGGGCACTTTCGTGAGCAATCCTAGCGAGACAGTGAAGACTGCCTTTGGTCAGTTTGTCGGAACGACCGGTACGAATCAGAGCAATTCCGAAAAACCGGAAAAAGTGACAGCCGTGCCATTGAGCAGAACTATACATACTGTATAACATTTAATTTTAGGTGTATACAAAATGTCGATGTCAGGGACCTGCCAGGTTTCAGGTGTGATGTAGAATTCCGTGACCAGCGTTCCCTTCACATACAGTGCATACTCTAGTGTCATTCAGGTGTAATTTAAATTTAGGTGGCTGGTTTCGCTACTGAAATTACCGAAATCAAAATTACACCGAAAATACGGTGTTGTCACAGTACTACACAAGTAACTACACAAGTAACTACACAAGTAAAGTAAAGTTTGAACATCAGCGTTACCACCGGCTATACAATCGTATTGAGAAACACAACCAGCTTAGGAAGGTTCGCAAGTGCCAGACCACCACCATGCCTGTGATACCAGGGTGGCAGATGCAGCGCCTAACGGCGAGGGTGAGGTGGTAAGTCTAACGGCCCTGCCCGACAAGGGGGTGAACCAGATTAGCTGCATCCATGTTACCCTCACTCCGAGTAGTGAGTACCCAGTTGAACATGGGTGTCGGCGCAGTTCACTGCATGTAAGGTGGTTCACGCATGCATCGCTGCATTTGTTAGCACAGTACACGCTCCCTGCTCCCAGCGCGGGTCTCGAACTCGGGACCTTGTGATGTGCTACATAGACAGGTGCTGATATTGGTACCGTACCTTTAGATCACAGTTAGTGTTTAGCAGAAGGTTGCTCGGCTTGAGGTCGCGATGCAGCACATTGGCTGAGTGAATGTACTTGACACCACGCAGTATCTGGTACAGGAAGTAGCAGATGTGATCGTTGCTGAGCTGCTGCGAGCGAAGCAGCTTGTACAGGTCAGTCTCCATCAGCTGCTGGACAATGTAGCTACGACAAGAGTGTGCTCAGTCAAGGAAGGTTTACATCCAGAATTGTGTGCTACTTGTAGAACATATACAGTACAACAATGTCAGGGTGACCAATAAAACACGGCAACCACGTGTACCAGAAGACTACAACAACCAGGACCAAGGGATGCTTTGCTATGTCCAGTCAAATGACCCTGGATAAGGTGACCACTTGGTTACGGAGAGGACGTTTCGAAGGTCCCTTGAGCGGTCGTCTTAGACAGGGTTCACTGCCCCCCCCCCCCCCCCCTTACCCCTTCGGCCAGCCCTGTTCAAAACTCTCAGCACCATACAGTAGCATCGCCACCTAAACCATTGCACAGTGCAGTCGCCCGTCAAGGAGGCACATGCACTACATGTAGTCATTACTCGTCCTCCTCCTCCTCCTCATCATCACAGTTCACAGTAAAGACAATGAGCAGGTGCAGTGCAAACAGCTGTAACTACGATGGTAACCATGGTAACTACGATGGTGGCTGCACAAAGGAGTGAAAGGATACATGTCTTTTATGTCATTGATGTCCTCCGGATGTCGGATGATGTCCTGGATATTGATGATCTGCATAGTCCACCAAACACACATGAGACAAACAACAAACACACAACAGACAAACGGCAAACAGAAAAATGTTATTACATGACAATGCCAACATGTGATTATTGACATTGACACCACTAGCAGCAACAGCAGCAGGAACAACACCACCACCAGCAGCAACACCAGCAGCAGCAGCAACACCAGCAGCAGCAGCAGCAACACCAGCAGCAACACCAGCAGCAGCAGCAACACCAGCAGCAGCAACACCAGCAGCAGCACCACCACCATCAGCAGCAGCAGCAGCAACACCAGCAGCAGTGGCAGCAGCAGCAACAGCAGCAAAAGCAGCAGCAGCAGCAGCAACAGCAGCAGCAACAGCAACAGCAGCAGCAACACCAGCAGCAGTGGCAGCAAAAGCAGCAGCAGCAGCAACAGCAACAGCAGCAGCAACAGCAACAGCAACAGCAGCAGCAGCAGCAACAGCAGCAGCAGTGGCAGCAGCAGCAGTGGCAGCAAAAGCAGCAGCAGCAGCAACAACAGCAGCAACAGCAGCAGCAACAGCAGCAACACCAGCAGCAGTGGCAGCAGCAGCAGTGGCAGCAAAAGCAGCAGCAGCAGCAACAACAGCAGCAACAGCAGCAGCAACAGCAGCAGCAACACCAGCAGCAGTGGCAGCAGCAGCAGTGGCAGCAAAAGCAGCAGCAGCAGCAACAGCAGCAGCAACAGCAGCAGCAACAGCAACAGCAGCAGCAACACCAGCAGCAGTGGCAGCAGCAGCAGCAACACCAGCACCAGTGGCAGCAGCAGCGGTGGCAGCAAAAGCAGCAGCAGCAGCAACAACAGCAGCAACAGCAGCAGCAACAGCAGCAGCAACACCAGCAGCAGTGGCAGCAGCAGCAGCAGCAGCAACAGCAACAGCAGCAGCAGCAGCAGCAGCAACAGCAGCAGGAACAGCAACACCACCACCAGCAGCAGCAACAGCAGCAGCAACACCAGCAGCAGCAGCAGCAACAGCAGCAAAATCAGCAGTACCAGCAGAAGCAACAGCAGCAGCAGCAGTGGCAGCAGCAGCAGAAGCAACAGCAGCAGCAACAGCAGCAGCAGCACCTCCAGCATCAGCAGCACCAGCAACAGCAGCAGCGGCGCCACGACCAACACCAACAACAGCAAGGGCAGCAGCGCCAGCAGCAACGGCAGCAGCATCATCAATAACAATGCCAGTGACACCACTGAGTAGCAGCCTCTATTCACGTTCTCCTCTTGTATTACTGGGTCAAGTTCCCGCATGCGGCGGAGATCAAAGCAAGCAACAACAACAACAACAACAACAACAACAACAACAACAACAACAACACGGCGATGGTGCCATCATGAGAATAAAGAATTCAAAACACCCATATTAACCACTCTGACCTTCTACACCGTATTAAGTGGCCCACTCTCTTCTCCCACTTTAAAGTTAAACACATAGCCTTTGCTCACTCCATCCACCACAATTCCACCCCGCCTCATATTCTAATGCTCGCAACCCCAAATCATGTCAATACAGGCTATAGCTTTCGGCAACTGCAAGAACCGACCGCTGCTTGGGTTCCCCTCTGTACAAATCTCTCCGCTATTTCAATGGCCTCTCGTCAACGTTACGCGATATTCAATCACCAGCTTTGTTTAAGCAAAATAGATCAAAACCCTACTGCTGAATTCATTTTGCTCATGCACGAGCCACGCTCACCCGTATATTATCTAGTTTGATCACTGCTAGCCATGAAGCTTCCGCATCATACTAATCTCACTATAATTACTATATCTTATTGGCCACAGTCCATCGTGAGAATAAAGATTTGAAACGTGTCACCAGTCTGGTTGCACCTAGGCTACGTGTCACTTTGCACACGACAGTCCAGCGTGTATTCACGCCCCGATGACGTTATGGAACGAAACCCACTCTTGGGTGCACTGAAGTGTCGCTGAAGCCGAGACCTTAGGTTGGCGGAGATACTCCAGATACACAGCTGCGACTACGGACACCTCTATCATACAGTATTCTGTTCTCGAGGTTAGTGGTTTCTCATGAAAAGAAAACAAAATCCCATGTTAGGACTGATGTGACCGATCTCGTTGCGGTTCTTCGCACCGTTCAAGAAGGGGAGGAGGGGGTAGGGACAGCAGGTGGATATTGATGGTGTGTTGTAACTGACACAGCACCGCGTCACAGGACATTTGCGTCTTGAGGCACACAAACAAACGGTACAGCTCTGGGCCACTGCTCCCCAACACGCTCGTAACCAAACCAACAGGGCCAGAGCACCCAGTCCTGTCATCGCCTAAACGTACTTTGAAAAAGTTGACCCTCAAATATAGAGCCAAAACGGATTTTTGTCGAGAATGATGTTCGTTTCTGGTAAAGATCGTAACATGGAACATGTGGGCACAAGTTATGCGATTGAGTCCACAAACTCACGAACTAGTAAACCAAATTGTGAACAGTCAGACGTACACAAGCTAGGACTAAACTTACAAGGAGTACTGAGACATTCCACGCTTTCTGCTAAAGTATCCCATGTGGCCGGACAACCTGAAATCCCAGTGATACGGCCCTGTCACGTACCATGACACCCACCGTATTGTTCCGGAGTATAAGCCGCACTTTGAACACTCAAAATTCACCCAAAAGGGGGGGGGGTGCGGCCCGTGCTCCATCATCTCTTTACCTCAAATCCCCTATATTCTCTGGCTATCAGCGGCCCCTTGGAGTAAATTGTCCTCCCACATGTCTCGGACGTCTCTCATCCGTGCACCTTGGGACCGGGCACTGCCCGTATCTCAGATTTGCCCGTATCTCATCTACCATGGATCATACAAATTTTTGAAGAAGTTTATTTGGCACGTATTGCTCATGTTCAGGATACGAAAAGAATCCATTGATAAAAAATGGGTGGATTACACAGGTTGGCAGTGACAAATAAGCCCTTGCGCATGCGAAAAAGTTCACCCCCCCCCCCCCCCCCAAATTCGAAGCATTTTGCCATAGAAACTCAAGCTGAAGGTGCCGCTAGATAGACGTTCATAAGAGACGTTTGAGTGTATTACTGGCAAAGTGCACTACTGCTCAATGAAATCCAGTCTTTTCTGAAGTGGGGGGGGGGGGGGGGGGGGGGTGCGCAGCCCTAGACCTGCGAACACTGGCCCCAACTTGACACCAATTGGATTTCATTAGAGAGGTTCAGATGCACGCTATTTCTGTTATTTGGCTGTTTTACACCAAGTTTGACGTGAAATTGCGGTCACCTAGGCGTGGGGTTCCCACGCTCATCTTAACCTCTCTATTGGGCAGCACTGTACTAGTATGGGGGGGGGGGGGCTGGGTAACTCTTCCCACTGAGTCTGTTGATTTGACATTGCATGTAGAGCTCAAAGACTAGGTCCCCTCAGGCTCAGGACTCCCTGGCCCTGTATCAGTCGGGGAGATGTCCTATCTAGGACATCGCACTCTGATTGGTCACCTGTCCCAGGGTTGTCATGGAAGCGTCAGTCGCGCACACGCGATGAAAAGAAGTGCTGCGTGAGCATTTCTGAATGTATGTGGAGGATGCACGATCGCAATGGCGATGGCTTTCTTTCCGAATTGGTCAAGTTTGAGTGAAAAGGCGGAGAATATCAGAGATCGGCGGGGATTGAGGTAGTGTATATTCGATTCGCCATCGAATATCCGACCGAATGGCCGTTTTGGTTTGGGGATTTCATGTAGGGTTTCTCGTAGCCACGCGGCGCTTCTTTGGAAACGATTGGTTCTATTTTGAATGTTTTGCCTTTGGAATGTTTCTTCACGCTCCATGCGTTCATTTCGCCCCAAACCTGGCCATGCAAAGGAGGAAGACGAGGCAGCAGGCGCTAGGCCCGTAAATTACTGCCTGGAAGATATTATTTGGCCAAAGCTTGCTGTTGGCGTTTTCGATTTCTTGGATACGACAGCTCTTGGCTAAAACTGGACCTTGGACGGTCTTTCTTGGACATCAACCCAGGGCGTACCACCTTGGGCGTGGTGGTCATGGACGTATCGCCATCGCTTTCAGCCAGACCCTTCTGCTGCCTGAAACCAATGGCGAAAGTAAAAACTTCATTGCAGCAGCAGCTGCTGCTCTGCTGAAAGTGCGAACACAAATTGCTTCGCCAATCCTCTTGTGCACTTATGCGACCAAAACGATTCGCTTGCCAGTTCCTTTGTCCAGGCGTACTCCACAACGAGGAAAATAAAATTCGTGAAGGCAAGATACGAATCTCGACTCGCTTGAGGCAAGCCGCCAGGAGAACGACAGCTAATTCATTTTGAGACGAAAGGCCTTCGTTGCGTTTGTTTTGAGTGCGACATGTTCATCTTCCTTGGACGCAACACAAAGTTTTGAGTCACGTGTCACGATTACTATGGGAACAGCATAGATGTATGCTGGACATCTCCAGGACTGTGTATGTACATGTACGCTGAAGTACAGTCAACGTGTTGATTTGACATTGGATGTAGAGCTCAAAGACTAGGTCCCCCCCAGGGCCAGGACTCCCTGCCCTGGCCCTGTATGTACACTGTCACTGAAGTAGTCAAGTACAGTCAACTCCTGACATAACGAACACCATTACATTATAAGCAACAGCCAAGCTACACTACAGAGCTAGACACATCGCTAGTACTAGTATTAGTATTACACTGCATTGCCAGACAAACCCAGGACGAGCCCAAAACGCCCCCAAGGATGCAATGCCAACGCCAACGGATTGTAGACTCCGCCACGCTGGCTGGCAGCGAGAGACTTAGAGAATACAGCTGATGGACGAAATCGGAACACGTGTCATGTTGTTTTGGGCACCAGAAGGAAAGATATTTTCCCCCTGGCTGTACATGTAGCTCAAAAATCAAAATCGTTTCTGATCATTGGCCTGCACGCCCTAGATCCAGAAAGCCATTTGGTGACTCGGCGAGGAGGAACAGTATGTCGTCATTCCCAAACGCTACCTAGGGTCACTAAAAGCGAACCCCTTCATCACAACGACACGAACACACTCGCGTCACAGGGCCGGATCGAGCAAGAATCTACCGACACAGAATGCTCCACAAGCTGGGTATCACCACAGCACCACAGCACCACAGGCACGGTCATCGCGCTGACGAGTAACGACCAAACGCGTTCGGAATGTGGGCGAGCGGGATATTTGCGTGCTCGCTAGCCAATGGCAATGCTCGTCGCTGGAACAAACTAACGCTTTGCCACAGTAACACTAACCGAAAAGAAGAAGGATCATTTTGCTGTCGCGTACACACTCAATACGTTTACAAGCACTGATTATGTTGTCCCAAGACGATAACCAAATTACGGAACACATCCTCCCGAACAAAACGAGCCTATTCATTCGGATCAGTTGCGCTAATTATTTCAAGTGTGCAGCGGAGCACGCAGAAATTATTTTCGACACGAACAGAGACGACTGATAGCGAGCGTCGAGACGCGGAGCAGATGGAAGAATAGGTACGATAGGAGGCGCCTCAAGCGCCAATGCCGAAATCGCCCGACACACAAGACAAAAAATTACGAACGCCGAAATTTCCCCAACACAATGTAGTGAATGTACAATGTAGACGTATCAAAAGACAAAAAAGACCGATCACACATACTGTGACATACTGTGACATACTCTCTACATGATGTAGCTACAAACAGCAAAGCCAACAATCATTGATACGCACCCAAGTAGATCTACATAGCGTTCAGTTGTGTTGTGCGCTACTATGCGCACATATCCATTCCGTTTCCACGTCCACTTACATTCTCGTGATTGAAGTAGCGGAGGATCTTGATCTCCCGTAGCGTTCGCTGGCAGTAGGTCTGGTGTTCGAAGGGACTAATCTTTTTGATCGCCACTCTGTCACCGCTAGAAGAGTCCGTAGCGGCCCTGAGCACGCAAAGCAAAGCACACAGGCAAGGAAATGGAGAACTAGAGAACGGCACCAGTGATTGGCCGCTACGGTACGAACGACAGGAGTAGATCGCATTCAAACTGCATTCAGCTATGCCAAACAAAATGCAAAAGCACTACATTATCTATGAAGACCAGCACCACGGATGTAGACGCCGCTAAAGTCACCCAAATAACGCCGGCGAGCGACCTAGTGAATGGTAAATACACTGATCCAGCACAACTAGCGGTTGTTTCATGGCCTTCATTTGCCCGCTAGAATGCCAGAGCAGGCAGACAGAAGATTGCAGTACTGATAGACGTGAAGAGATGAAAACAAGCAGTGATCGTGAGCCAGTGAAATCATGTCAGCCTGCTCCAACGGCGTACTCACACAACCATTCCATAGGCACCTTCTCCAATGTACTGCAGTGCTCCATAGCGAGGGCCCACATCAAAACTCTGCCCTCGGACCAGCCCCAGCTCGCTCGCGTTCGCCGCTTCTGCAGCCATTCTTCACCCACAGAGCTCAGCAGCTGCTAGCGATCGATCCTCAAATGCTAGCGATTCCTCTCGCACTCGGCAGGCACGCAAATCGCACGGTCAATCCCATACACCAGAGAGTTGTGATCGTTCTGCAGGAATGGCACCGACGAGAATCAGACCAGAAACTCTCCCACTGCAAACTGCTTTTGTTATCACCAAGACAGAGCTAGGGTGAAGATGGGAACGATCCAGTGGGACAACGTTTGGACAGACACAGTCAGTGGTCTAATCAGTCAAAGATTGAAGTCCAGACACCATGCATACCCGTGCAGTCGAAAACGAGACGCAAAAAATTCTTGTTGCTTTCACCTTCGACTCGTTCGAGTTGTATACAGTGCAGTGTAGATATCGCTATCCGTGCACCATGCATGGTCCACTTCTGCATGCAGTATCGATATGTCGGAGTATCCCCTATCGCTGTGGCATTGTGTGCAGATCTACTGCAGTACAGACAGTATGTGGCTGTGGCCTGCCATGCCACAGACAAGTGCCAGAGTGGTGCATTACCATTACTGCACTGCCACAGACGCAGTGACCAATCCATGCCATGCACAAAACACACATCAAGAGTAGATGCTAGATCTACTGACTGTACGTGTACGCGTAGATCTACACACGACATCACCATGATCATACAGGACTCGGGAGCGCCCATGCCATGGCCCAGCTTCACTGTTCAGACGTTCAGTCTGTTCATGATCGACTGACGCCTGGTCTACGTGGTGACGTCGGTGCATGTTCCGGTACTCTGAATCCGCACTCACCTGACCTAGTAATACGGAGGATTAGCAAGACGAAATTCGCGTTCGCGTTCGCTCTCCAAAGAAAGTCGAACTCAGTGACGGAATTCGCGTTATGAGAAGGATTAGCAAACAGAATTCGCACATGCATGATGTTGACACGACGTAGGCAGTACAGCGTGGTAAATTTATGACTGCCCTGACACGAATCCACGTCACGATTCGTGTTCCGACTACTTTTCCGAACGAAAAATGCGAAAGTTCGCGAACTGAAAAATGTTTGCGAACGTCTTGCTAATCCTCCGTAGTAATGTGCATGTGTGTCGCTACTGTACTGACTGTGTCTGCAGGCATAGGGATGACAACCTACAGAAATAACCTACACAATCATGTACATGTACATGTACATGTACATGTACAAAATAACCTACAAAATAAAATAACCTACAAAATAACCTACAAAATGTGATGCGTTTTCGCGATGGGATAATTAATTATTTTTAATATCATCATTCATCCCCAACACCAGACATGTGACTTGGTGACGTGGCCCGACCGACGCTCATACACTGCACTGACAGACTGTCTCAGTGTCTGCATGTAGTGTAGAACTGCCCAAAATGGGACACACAGACAGACCATAAATTTTTGACCATACACACCATTTGACCATTTGACGCCCATCGCCAAAGGCTATGATACTGATAGTGATGCTACAGCAGAAGCCATAGCAGCTTGTGCTGGGACAGTCTCAGCCTATCTGTCACATGTACATTGTACATGTGTGAGCGGACAAGGTAGAAATGGAACGTTAACTGCAGTCTGGCAAAAACTGTTTTTTTGCATGAAGGTCACCTACAACTATCTGTTTTTCAGATCCCAAAGTTTCAGGCTGATACTATGGTGGGAAGTGCCTTACATTCACCATTTTCTAGATGCCGGTCAGTATTTTAACGTCTGTTTCGGGATGATTTAAACAGTCCACCCTTCAGTACAACCAAAACACTGAAAAAAACCCATTATCTTGGCCTGTATTTCTCCACAAGTGTATATCAGTGTGAAAGATGAGCTGATCACACACATGGACTCGTTTGAGGTGGAACCAAGCAACAAAACTACATAACTAGAAACAGCCGGAGCCGAAAAATCAGCTCCAGAGTAACTCGTAACGCAAGGCAAATTAATAGGACTGTTGAAGCTGGTACTCAATCCACACATCAAATACCACTACACACATGTCAAAAATAGAAGAATTTGGCGGACAAATGGTAATTCCAGTGCGTTCTTGCTTCAGCCATGTGTGCACGCTCTCATCGTATACTGTTGCTCGGACTCTGCTCTGATGCATTGAGGCTCCCGACGACTGAGCGGCGCACCTTGGTAATATAGTTTGTAACATTTTGGCAGGAGACAGACAGCTCTTGAACACACAGCATCGAAATAATATTCCGGAGACGCACCACCAATACGGTGCCCATTAGCGAAGCAGGACGAGTCCACAGACTTGAGAAACTGTACTTAACGTAACGTTACACATCAGTCCGCAATCCGAGGCCCGATTTGACTTCTTTCCACTCAGCTCATGTTCACCAGCCTTGACCATTCTGTGTATCTCAATTCTTAAAACACTCATTTCCAGACAGTGCACGATGCAGGTCTGCCACTTGCATCCAATGCATTGGGCAACAGCTAGCTAGTTGTTCTGGGCTATTAAGTCCCTGCATACGTTCCCTGTGGTGCACGACGCTATTGTTTCTTCAGCTCCTGCCCTGTGTGCTTCAGAGCTCTGAAGTCGGTTCGGCGTATACATTCAGTACAACTCAGCATCCACAGGAACGTTCCCCTTCATTGGTGTTATCATCGTCACTGCTGTCACCACGTTCGCCTGCATCCGAAAGATCCATCTCATTTGTTCCCTATGTCTTTTTGTACCGTGCTGAAGCCAGCAGCAAACAAAACGCTGATCGGCACGTCGTTTTCGGCGTAGTGGAAGACGCTCTCGACTACTACCTGACTCAGAAACGCTCTCAGAATCAGAGAAGCTCTCAGCACCTGACAGCAGGCTATCAGCTGATCGCCGTCACCTCCAAATTCGCCCGTCAATACGCCACCCGTCGCACAACTAGCTGCCATATCTTCCTTCAGCCATAACGGATTCACTTCAAATTTTCAGTGCTGGACCTTGAAGCCCTGTGCTGAGTGAGGCACAAGCGCTTGATGCAAACAGAGCCCTCTAACCCAGGTAAAAAATATGCCACAGTTTGCCTAACTTCAAACGCCTGTATCTCAAAATGATGTCATGCAGCTAACGTTCCATTTCTACCTTGTCCGCTCACATGTACAAGTAGATCTACACAGATCCAATAGACAATCAACATGAATCCATGGATCATGGACCACTGACGTCAGATACACTGATGAGGTACACACAACAACACGAACACTAACATCAAGACTAGACAAGAGTAAAACAAGCTCCCAGCTTTAAAAAATGGGAGTCTAAAATACAGTGCTCTTGGTACAGCTAACACAGCCTTTCGCCTCTGTTGTGTGTGTATACTGCTCTGTACATTCGTACATTGAGCACTCTACCTCGAGCTTCCAGGACCGGCCTTGTTTGTGCTCTTGGTACATGTATATCAAGAGTATACACTCGGACGTCTCTTATCCGGGCACCTTGGGACCGGACACTGCCCGTATCTCAGATTTGCCCGTATCTCAGGATAACTCATCTACCATGTATCATATCAGTTTTGATGAAGTTTATTTGGCACGTATTGCACATTCTCAGGATAAAAAAATCCATTGATGAAAATGTGTGGATTACACAAGTTGGCAGTGACAAAAATTGATAAGCAATTGTGCGTACGAAAAAAGGTTCAAAAATCTCCAAATTCGAAGCATTTTGCCATAGGAACTCAACGTGGAGGTGCCCGGTAGAGAGACGTGCCCGTATCTGAGGCATCCGGATAAGAGACGTTTGAGTTGTATAACCAAGTTATGTAATCTTGGTGTTAAATACACCATCAATGTCGACGACAATGATGTTCGTTTATTTTGCACCTAAAAGAGGCTCGGACGACACGTCATGACGATGACCATTGGACATTATTTATTATTATTATTACTCAATCTGCGGACAGAACTGTTTCGTCCTTTGTGGACTCGTCAGCGCAGCACAGAGGAAATGAGGCCGAACCTGATAGCAATGGAAATAAAAATTTCCAATCAGGCCCGAACGTACCTTGCCAGAGTGCTCAAACTGACAAGTTAGTGAGCTCTGCATAAAGCAAACAGCAAAGGCACTACCCCACGCAAGAGTGCTCAACTGCTACCAGAGCAGGAGCGAAATACTCAATCTGCGGACAGAACTGTATTAAAACTGTATTATTATTATTATTATTATATTTGAAAGGATTGGGAGAACTTCAAATTCAAAGGAACAGTAGGGGAAGTGAACTGCCTGAAAAGAGAAAAAATCGCCAGACCCACCAGGACTCGAACCCGGGACCTTGCTTGTCATGAGCAATGCTCTAACCACTGAGCTATGGGACCGGGCTGAACCTAGAAGGAAAAGAGAAAAAATCGCCAGACCCACCAGGACTCGAACCCGGGACCTTGCTTGTCATGAGCAATGCTCTAACCACTGAGCTATGGGACCGGGCTGAACCTAGAAGGCGCTGACAAGAGAGAGGTTTTGCATTCCGAATTTCGGAATTATTATCGGAATGTGGCGGCAGCAGTCGAAAAAGTAGTCGAACTTTCGGAAGTGTGGTGGCGAAAGTGCATGGTTTTCCGAAAATGGATTTTCGGCTCTTTCATGTTTGGGAGTGCATATTTGAATACAAAAAAGTGTATTTTTCATGTTTGTATTTTTGCTTTCTGCTGCTCTCGATTATTTGAAAAAATTTCCACGTATGTAGTTTTGATTTTTGCTGGTTTTGCTGCTCTCGCTGATCTCGCCATGTTGACTAATCTTCTCACACTTCATCACACTCTATCTTCCTTTGCCCTGGAGCCTACTAACAGTACAAGACAGTAGTTCGCCAACCTCAGAGTCGTCTTCAGCTGTTGGATCACTTGGTCCACCATCAGTCCGTCCTCGTCTTCGAACCGCACCCAAATTCAGTTTGACCTGCGCACATGGATTTGATCCTGCTCAACCCCTTCGACGCTCTCCATTTTGTTTTGCATGGCAACCCTTGGAAACGAAGTCGAATTAGATTTTCGGAATGCAAAACACTGAAAATACCGTTTTTCGGAACGCGCTTTTTTCGGAAAAGCACAGTCGAAAATCATTCCGAAATTCGGAATGCAAAACCTCTCTAAGGTTACCATAGCTCAGTGGTTAGAGCATTGCTCATGACAAGCAAGGTCCCGGGTTCGAGTCCTGGTGGGTCTGGCGATTTTTTCTCTTTTCAGGCAGTTCACTTCCCCTACTGTTCCTTTGAATTATTATTATTATTATTATTTCACAATCACGATGACATAGTGCCAATAAGCATGTGATGCGGGCGATTTTAACCAGCCATGGTGGGGACAACTGAGAAAAAGAAGGAGAAGAAAAAGAGAAA